ATCCCACCGCTGCCAGGATTTCATTTTTTGTTTCACCGAAAAGTGTTGTAATGCATTTAAAAACATTGTTCCAAAGGAATAAAAGAACACTATAAATGTGACCCCCACGGTAGCGTGGCCGAGCTTTCTAAGGCGCAGATTTAAGGCGCCAGTCTTACCGAAAACGTGGTTTCGTATCCCACCGCTGCCAGGTTTTCTTTTTTTGTTTCTCCGAAAAGTTTTTAAATGCATTTAACAATAAATGTTCCAAAGGAATAAAAGAACACTATAAACGTAATGCCGACGGTAGCGTGGCCGAGCGGTCTAAGGCGCTGGTTTAAGGCACCAGTCTCTCCGGAGGCGTGGGTTCGAATCCCACCGCTGCCAGGATTTCATTTTTTGTTTCACCGAAAAGTGTTGTAATGCATTTAAAAAACATTGTTCCAAAGGAATAAAAGAACACTATAAATGTGACCCCCACGGTAGCGTGGCCGAGCTTTCTAAGGCGCAGATTTAAGGCGCCAGTCTTACCGAAAACGTGGTTTCGTATCCCACCGCTGCCAGGTTTTCTTTTTTGTTTCTACGAAAAGTTTTTAAATGCATTTAACAATAAATGTTCCAAAGGAATAAAAGAACACTATAAACGTAATGCCGACGGTAGCGTGGCCGAGCGGTCTAAGGCGCTGGTTTAAGGCACCAGTCTCTCCGGAGGCGTGGGTTCGAATCCCACCGCTGCCAGGATTTCATTTTTTTTTCACCGGAAAGTGTTGTAATGCATTTAAAAAACATTGTTCCAAAGGAATAAAAGAACACTATAAATGTGACCCCCACGGTAGCGTGGCCGAGCGGTGTAAGGCGCAGATTTAAGGCGCCAGTCTTACCGAAAACGTGGTTTCGTATCCCACCGCTGCCAGGTTTTCTTTTTTTTTTCTCGAAAAGTTTTTAAATGCATTTAACAATAAATGTTCCAAAGGAATAAAAGAACACTATAAACGTAATGCCGACGGTAGCGTGGCCGAGCGGTCTAAGGCGCTGGTTTAAGGCACCAGTCTCTCCGGAGGCGTGGGTTCGAATCCCACCGCTGCCAGGATTTCTTTTTTTTTTGTTTTTCCAAAAAGTTTTTTAACGCATTTAACAATAAATGTTCCAAAGGAATAAAAGAACAGTATGAACATAAATGCCGACGGTAGCGTGGCCGAGCGGTCTAAGGCGCTGGGGCACCAGTCTCTCCGGAGGCGTGGGTTCGAATCCCACCGCTGCCAGGATTTCATTTTTTGTTTCACCGAAAAGTGTTGTAATGCATTTAAAAACATTGTTCCAAAGGAATAAAAGAACACTATAAATGTGACCCCCACGGTAGCGTGGCCGAGCGGTCTAAGGCGCAGATTTAAGGCGCCAGTCTTACCGAAAACGTGGTTTCGTATCCCACCGCTGCCAGGTTTTCTTTTTTTGTTTCTCGAAAAGTTTTTAATGCATTTAACAATAAATGTTCCAAAGGAATAAAAGAACACTATAAACGTAATGCCGACGGTAGCGTGGCCGAGCGGTCTAAGGCGCTGGTTTAAGGCACCAGTCTCTCCGGAGGCGTGGGTTCGAATCCCACCGCTGCCAGGATTTCATTTTTTGTTTCACCGAAAGTGTTGTAATGCATTTAAAAACATTGTTCCAAAGGAATAAAAGAACACTATAAATGTGACCCCCACGGTAGCGTGGCCGAGCGGTGTAAGGCGCAGATTTAAGGCGCCAGTCTTACCGAAAACGTGGTTTCGTATCCCACCGCTGCCAGGTTTTCATTTTTTGTTTCTCCGAAAAGTTTTTTAATGCATTTAACAATAAATGTTCCAAAGGAATAAAAGAACACTATAAAAATAATGCCGACGGTAGCGTGGCCGAGCGGTCTAAGGCGCTGGTTTAAGGCACCAGTCTCTCCGGAGGCGTGGGTTCGAATCCCACCGCTGCCAGGATTTCATTTTTTGTTTCACCGAAAAGTGTTGTAATGCATTTAAAAACATTGTTCCAAAGGAATAAAAGAACACTATAAATGTGACCCCGACGGTAGCGTGGCCGAGCGGTGTAAGGCGCAGATTTAAGGCGCCAGTCTTACCGAAAACGTGGTTTCGTATCCCACCGCTGCCAGGTTTTCTTTTTTTTTTTTCTCCGAAAAGTTTTTAATGCATTTAACAATAAATGTTCCAAAGGAATAAAAGAACACTATAAACGTAATGCCGACGGTAGCGTGGCCGAGCGGTCTAAAAAGGCACCAGTCTCTCCGGTTTCGTATCCCACCGCTGCCAGGTTTTCTTTTTTTTGTTTCTCCGAAAAGTTTTTAATGCATTTAACAATAAATGTTCCAAAGGAATAAAAGAACACTATAAACGTAATGCCGACGGTAGCGTGGCCGAGCGGTCTAAGGCGCTGGTTTAAGGCACCAGTCTCTCCGGAGGCGTGGGTTCGAATCCCACCGCTGCCAGGATTTCATTTTTTGTTTCACCGAAAAGTGTTGTAATGCATTTAAAAACATTGTTCCAAAGGAATAAAAGAACACTATAAATGTGACCCCCACGGTAGCGTGGCCGAGCTTTCTAAGGCGCAGATTTAAGGCGCCAGTCTTACCGAAAACGTGGTTTCGTATCCCACCGCTGCCAGGTTTTCTTTTTTTGTTTCTCCGAAAAGTTTTTTAATGCATTTAACAATAAATGTTCCAAAGGAATAAAAGAACACTATAAACGTAATGCCGACGGTAGCGTGGCCGAGCGGTCTAAGGCGCTGGTTTAAGGCACCAGTCTCTCCGGAGGCGTGGGTTCGAATCCCACCGCTGCCAGGATTTCATTTTTTGTTTCACCGGAAAGTGTTGTAATGCATTTAAAAAACATTGTTCCAAAGGAATAAAAGAACACTATAAATGTGACCCCCACGGTAGCGTGGCCGAGCGGTCTAAGGCGCAGATTTAAGGCGCCAGTCTTACCGAAAACGTGGTTTCGTATCCCACCGCTGCCAGGTTTTTTTTTTTTGTTTCTCCGAAAAGTTTTTTAATGCATTTAACAATAAATGTTCCAAAGGAATAAAAGAACACTATAAACGTAATGCCGACGGTAGCGTGGCCGAGCGGTCTAAGGCGCTGGTTTAAGGCACCAGTCTCTCCGGAGGCGTGGGTTCGAATCCCACCGCTGCCAGGATTTCATTTTTTTTTTCACCGAAAAGTGTTGTAATGCATTTAAAAAAATTGTTCCAAAGGAATAAAAGAACACTATAAATGTGACCCCGACGGTAGCGTGGCCGAGCGGTGTAAGGCGCAGATTTAAGGCGCCAGTCTTACCGAAAACGTGGTTTCGTATCCCACCGCTGCCAGGTTTTCTTTTTTTGTTTCTACGAAAAGTTTTTAAATGCATTTAACAATAAATGTTCCAAAGGAATAAAAGAACACTATAAACGTAATGCCGACGGTAGCGTGGCCGAGCGGTCTAAGGCGCTGGTTTAAGGCACCAGTCTCTCCGGAGGCGTGGGTTCGAATCCCACCGCTGCCAGGATTTCATTTTTTGTTTCACCGGAAAGTGTTGTAATGCATTTAAAAAACATTGTTCCAAAGGAATAAAAGAACACTATAAATGTGACCCCGACGGTAGCGTGGCCGAGCGGTGTAAGGCGCAGATTTAAGGCGCCAGTCTTACCGAAAACGTGGTTTCGTATCCCACCGCTGCCAGGTTTTCTTTTTTGTTTCTCCGAAAAGTTTTTAATGCATTTAACAATAAATGTTCCAAAGGAATAAAAGAACACTATAAACGTAATGCCGACGGTAGCGTGGCCGAGCGGTCTAAGGCGCTGGTTTAAGGCACCAGTCTCTCCGGAGGCGTGGGTTCGAATCCCACCGCTGCCAGGATTTCATTTTTTGTTTCACCGAAAAGTGTTGTAATGCATTTAAAAACATTGTTCCAAAGGAATAAAAGAACACTATAAATGTGACCCCCACGGTAGCGTGGCCGAGCTTTCTAAGGCGCAGATTTAAGGCGCCAGTCTTACCGAAAACGTGGTTTCGTATCCCACCGCTTCCAGGTTTTCTTTTTTTCTTTCTACGAAAAGTTTTTAAATGCATTTAACAATAAATGTTCCAAAGGAATAAAAGAACACTATAAACGTAATGCCGACGGTAGCGTGGCCGAGCGGTCTAAGGCGCTGGTTTAAGGCACCAGTCTCTCCGGAGGCGTGGGTTCGAATCCCACCGCTGCCAGGATTTCATTTTTTGTTTCACCGGAAAGTATTGTAATGCATTTAAAAAACATTGTTCCAAAGGAATAAAAGAACACTATAAATGTGACCCCCGACGGTAGCGTGGCCGAGCGGTGTAAGGCGCAGATTTAAGGCGCCAGTCTTACCGAAAACGTGGTTTCGTATCCCACCGCTGCCAGGTTTTCTTTTTTGGATTCTCCGAAAAGTTTTTTAATGCATTTAACAATAAATGTTCCAAAGGAATAAAAGAACAGTATAAACTTAATGCCGACGGTAGCGTGGCCGAGCGGTCTAAGGCGCTGGTTTAAGGCACCAGTCTTCCGGAGGCGTGGGTTCGAATCCCACCGCTGCCAGGATTTCATTTTTTTTTTGTTTCACCGGAAAGTATTGTAATGCATTTAAAAAACATTGTTCCAAAGGAATAAAAGAACACTATAAATGTGACCCCCACGGTAGCGTGGCCGAGCTTTCTAAGGCGCAGATTTAAGGCGACAGTCTTACCGAAAACGTGGTTTCGTATCCCACCGCTGCCAGGTTTTCTTTTTTGTTTTCGAAAAGTTTTTAAATGCATTTAACAATAAATGTTCCAAAGGAATAAAAGAACACTATAAACGTAATGCCGACGGTAGCGTGGCCGAGCGGTCTAAGGCGCTGGTTTAAGGCACCAGTCTCTCCGGAGGCGTGGGTTCGAATCCCACCGCTGCCAGGATTTCATTTTTTTTACAGAAAAGTGTTGTAATGCATTTAAAAAGAATTGTTCCAAATGAATAAAAGAACACTATAAATGTGACCCCCACGGTAGCGTGGCCGAGCGGTTCTAAGGCGCAGATTTAAGGCGCCAGTCTTACCGAAAACGTGGTTTCGTATCCCACCGCTGCCAGGTTTTCTTTTTTTGTTTCTCCGAAAATTTTTTATTGCATTTAACAATAAATGTTCCAAAGGAATAAAAGAACACTATAAACGTAATGCCGACGGTAGCGTGGCCGAGCGGTCTAAGGCGCTGGTTTAAGGCACCAGTCTCTCCGGAGGCGTGGGTTCGAATCCCACCGCTGCCAGGATTTCATTTTTTGCTTCACCGGAAAGTGTTGTAATGCATTTAAAAAAAATTGTTCCAAAGGAATAAAAGAACACTATAAATGTGACCCCGACGGTAGCGTGGCCGAGCGGTGTAAGGCGCAGATTTAAGGCGCCAGTCTTACCGAAAACGTGGTTTCGTATCCCACCGCTGCCAGGTTTTCTTTTTTGTTTCTCCGAAAAGTTTTTAATGCATTTAACAATAAATGTTCCAAAGGAATAAAAGAACACTATAAACGTAATGCCGACGGTAGCGTGGCCGAGCGGTCTAAGGCGCTGGTTTAAGGCACCAGTCTCTCCGGAGGCGTGGGTTCGAATCCCACCGCTGCCAGGATTTCATTTTTTGTTTCACCGAAAAGTGTTGTAATGCATTTAAAAACATTGTTCCAAAGGAATAAAAGAACACTATAAATGTGACCCCCACGGTAGCGTGGCCGAGCTTTCTAAGGCGCAGATTTAAGGCGCCAGTCTTACCGAAAACGTGGTTTCGTATCCCACCGCTGCCAGGTTTTCTTTTTTTTTTTTACGAAAAGTTTTTAAATGCATTTAACAATAAATGTTCCAAAGGAATAAAAGAACACTATAAACGTAATGCCGACGGTAGCGTGGCCGAGCGGTCTAAGGCGCTGGTTTAAGGCACCAGTCTCTCCGGAGGCGTGGGTTCGAATCCCACCGCTGCCAGGATTTCATTTTTTGTTTCACCGAAAAGTGTTGTAATGCATTTAAAAACATTGTTCCAAAGGAATAAAAGAACACTATAAATGTGACCCCCACGGTAGCGTGGCCGAGCTTTCTAAGGCGCAGATTTAAGGCGCCAGTCTTACCGAAAACGTGGTTTCGTATCCCACCGCTGCCAGGTTTTCTTTTTTTGTTTTTCCGAAAAGTTTTTAATGCATTTAACAATAAATGTTCCAAAGGAATAAAAGAACACTATAAACGTAATGCCGACGGTAGCGTGGCCGAGCGGTCTAAGGCGCTGGTTTAAGGCACCAGTCTCTCCGGAGGCGTGGGTTCGAATCCCACCGCTGCCAGGATTTCATTTTTTGTTTCACCGAAAAGTGTTGTAATGCATTTAAAAACATTGTTCCAAAGGAATAAAAGAACACTATAAATGTGACCCCCACGGTAGCGTGGCCGAGCTTTCTAAGGCGCAGATTTAAGGCGCCAGTCTTACCGAAAACGTGGTTTCGTATCCCACCGCTGCCAGGTTTTCTTTTTTTTTTTTCGCCGAAAATTTTTTAATGCATTTAACAATAAATGTTCCAAAGGAATAAAAGAACACTATAAACGTAATGCCGACGGTAGCGTGGCCGAGCGGTCTAAGGCGCTGGTTTAAGGCACCAGTCTCTCCGGAGGCGTGGGTTCGAATCCCGCCGCTGCCAGGATTTCATTTTTTGTTTCACCGGAAAGTATTGTAATGCATTTAAAAAACATTGTTCCAAAGGAATAAAAGAACACTATAAATGTGACCCCCACGGTAGCGTGGCCGAGCTTTCTAAGGCGCAGATTTAAGGCGCCAGTCTTACCGAAAACGTGGTTTCGTATCCCACCGCTGCCAGGTTTTCTTTTTTTGTTTCTACGAAAAGTTTTTAAATGCATTTAACAATAAATGTTCCAAAGGAATAAAAGAACACTATAAACGTAATACCGACGGTAGCGTGGCCGAGGCAATGGTCGAACATACCCATTCAAAATCTCCATCCAAAACAGCACTCTTTTGTTCGTATAATCCCATTCGCTCATTACATTTAGAACATTCATAATTCAAAGCAATCAATCCTTCCTTCATACACCATTCAATCAATTTTTTCTTACATTTCGCATTCAACAAAGTACAAAATTCAAAGGTATATCCACTCACATACGTGCCATACTTCCAGCCCGGGGCCCAACAACAAAATGACACAATTCGATATGCCCGCTGACAAAATACAAAAATTCCAGAGATAGTTAGGTTTACCATACATAATGTATCAAAGTAGAGTTACCAAGATGGTGCAATTATCACCAACCAAAATAATTTGCTCCAAGGGTGTGGGCTCTCCTAGGACTGAACCCATTCTTATATTAAGATTTACTTCTTAGTATGATTAACTATAAAAGCATTTTTTTTAAACTATGGTGTTTCATGTACGTCAGACTGAACAGGTTTCATTACTTACGTATTATCAAAACAATCGCCAACTCTATTAATAATTCACTGAATCGACAACTTCAATTGGTACTTAGGTCTTATTGGCGACATTATATGAAATGAAGCACCTAGATGCCAATTTTCAGTGTGTCATCGGGGTTGCCAACTTGGTGAGTTATGAATAGAGTTGGCAATTGATGCGATATTTCATAAGTACCCTCCAATTTCCTGTGTTGTACATGCTGAATTGGCAACCAGGTGCTTCGTTTCATATAACGTTGCCAATAGGTTGCAATAATATATAAGTAGGGGAAACCTGTGTACCTAGGGCCATATTTTTTCAATGCACAAAAACAGAGCCCCTGGCCCGTTTAAAAATGTGAAACTAATATGCACTCATCATTATACTATCATCCAATTGTAAATATAAGAACTTAAAATATTAAATTCTGTGAAATAAAAGGTTTTAAAAAAATTCACAAATGGCCCTAGGTACAATATTATACAATAGATATAACATTGTACGTAGGGCCTTTCCCTGAAAGTTAGGTTTCACTCTGTAATCAATAGAAAACAAACATACACACATGAATTTAATAAAAGAAACAATATCAGTTAATACATTGATTTATCATGTAACCATTTAAATTGCAATGTGCCAAATTATTAATGATTGTCGTTCTGAAGCATCAACAGATTAGGGTTTAGACAGTTTGAACAGAATATTTCTGTTGCCAGTTTTATAAGTTTCTTCTTTATTATAAAGAAACTTATTTGAACGTAAATATTCTTCAGAAACTTAACACTCTTTGTGTTCTTTTTAACATCTATTACTTTTGCCATATAAAAATGTTTAGTTTTTTTGCCTTGTATTTTTGTTAAACAAAAGTCCCCCTTTTCAATACTATCAGTTACTGTAGAATTTGCATCATCAGTGGAATGTGAGAATCTTCAATATCTGATAATTCTTATATTATCTGCATTAGGTTTTGACCATTTTATTCAGTCAGGATTTCTAGGTATCTAAAAAAGTTAGGAATTTATATTTGCTCATTAAGAGAAAAATTTAATTGAAATATCATAAAAATCTGATTTAGAATTATATTATTTTTGTAACTATAAAAAATTGGGGTTTTTTGTTAATTAAATGCATTCTTATGTTTGTATAAATAAAATAATCCTGAAAAATAACAATAATGGTAGCTAAGATATTTTTTTTATAAATCAAGCATGTTGAAAGTTTCAGAACAAAATATACACTCCTCTCATTTTAATAACATCCAATAATAATAAAAAACTTGACTAAATCAAAATGGTTCAGATAATTAAGACCATTTTCCTCTTTTTATCATGAAAACTTTTTCAATAAAATAATAACATAAAGAATATTAATTGCAATTGTACCTAGGTACAAGGCAACTATATGGCCCCAGGTACAAGACTAGGTAATTTTATACAAAATGTCTTCTGCAGAAAATCCACATAGAGAGAGGATTTACTTAAAATCTTATTTAGTACTTAATGCTACAAACAAAATTATGTACAAGAAAAAAAATTCAAAGAAAATTTTTTGATCTACTTTGTACAACAATAAAAAGAGATGAGCTACAGAACTTTACTTCGGACTATGTAAACATGTTTTACATTTATAACTAACTAACCACAACTTTCTTTTGAAAAATTTCAGTTTTAATAAGATAAAGATTTTTTAAAAAAATTAAGATCCCGTGAAAACATCGCACTCACTCACGACTAGATTAAAGGAGTGTATAAACAATGTGCTGAATGCCCTTATAAAAAGAATAGAAAAACTAAATTTAAGAGTGAAAAATGTAATAAACATAATGTATTTCCTACTTTTCTTTTTTTTATACAAATTTTATGGTATAATCAGAACGTAAACATCCTTGGGGGTGTGAGATACCCTGCGCAAGAACTTTAGGCCATTTTTTCGCATGAGTGATGCGGGGTTATAAGATAAATTAGTACTTACATACATGGCAATAATTGTTGGCAATACCAATTTCGCATGTGTCATATGCGCTGAATTGCCAATCATATGCTTCCTTTCATATAATGTCGCCAAAATGTTGTGATAATATGTAAGTACTGATAAATCCAATTTAAACAATGTCGAGATCAATTATTAATAAAACAAAATAGTCGTTAAATATTATTAATCAAGAACATTTAATATTTATATGTAATGTCTAAAAATAAAAAGCATTCTTGAAATATAGATTACATTCAATTTTACTAACTAATTTTGCTCATTCTGTAATTTCTGTTCAGTAAATTTTGATTCTTTCAATATTCGAAAATGAGAGTCAAAGGAATCATAAAGTATATTGAAAAATTGTTGAAGCACTTTAAATATTTTTTATGAGAACTTTTAACACATTTTCCATAAATTTACTAATAAGCTAAAAAGGTTCTTTAAAACTTACAAGAAATTAGACTCATAAAAATTATAGTTTAAAAAAAAAAAAACACTAATAGTTAATCGAACAAAAAGGAAAAAATAATTCTTAATATAAGAATAAAATTATTAGCGAGACAATGTCATTGTGATAAAAATGTGGGGTGCTCAATATCAATTGTTATAATTTCTTACTAGTTCTATTCTGAAATGCCGAGTTAGTGTAAAAATGAAGAACAAAAGCACCCCACGCTTTTACCACAATGACATTAATATATATTTTCTCGTTAATCATTTTATTCTTACATTATGCATTATTTTTTAGTTTAACTATAAAAGCGTGTTTTTTAAACTATAATTTATTTTTCATTTTTTAGTTCGATCTACAATAAAAGCATGCTTTTTTAATTTTTTAAACTATCATTTATTTATTTCCATTTTCAAAGAACTTGGGCAATTGTTTATATATTATAATAAGAAATTACTGACATGAGTGTTTTCGCTTTAGAGTTGTAACAATCTTTCAGTCACCAAATCTGGAAATGGGAAATTGTTAATCGTCATGATCCTTATCAGGACAATGGAACAAAATTATTCTATTGTCATCAGTCCTTGAAAAGTGTGCAAAATTTCGAATTAATCAGACCTTTTAGAGTGGGTAAAAATGTAGTTCAAAGATTCCGTTACATACAGGTGAAGCTTATAAAAGAGTCTAAAAAGATTACTAATTGAAAACGAAAATTTATTTTGTAAACTTGCCTTTTTCAAACCATGCAAGGCATTTTCGAGTTCAATATGAAAGTAAAGTTAAAATTATTAAGATGATCAACCATTCTCCTTTTATAAATCCTGTCCTTCCTCGAAAAGTGACCTCCTTTTTTCAATATTTTAAAACAGATCTGTTAATCTCTGTATTCAGAGATGAACCAAACATGTTTCCAATATGTCGAGGAATAGTCTGAAACAAATATCACAGGAAATAACAGTTTTCAATGGTGTTTTTTGACTTTATCACAAGTAAATTGGGCAGATATAGAAAACTGTGTTGATTTTTTTATCAAAAGAAATGCCTGATATCTTTTTTCTCCGTGAAGAGAACTATAAACGTGACGCCAACTTTAGCGTGGCCTCGCGGTGTAAGGCGCATATTTAAGGCACCAGTCCTACCGAATACGAGGGTTCGAATCCCACCGCTACCAGGATTTCATTTTTTGTTTCTCCGAAAAGTTTTTTAATGCATTTAACAATAAATGTTCCAAAGGAATAAAAGAACACTATAAACGTAATGCCGACGGTAGCGTGGCCGAGCGGTCTAAGGCGCTGGTTTAAGGCACCAGTCTCTCCGGAGGCGTGGGTTCGAATCCCACCGCTGCCAGGATTTCATTTTTTGTTTCACCGGAAAGTGTTGTAATGCATTTAAAAAACATTGTTCCAAAGGAATAAAAGAACACTATAAATGTGACCCCCACGGTAGCGTGGCCGAGCTTTCTAAGGCGCAGATTTAAGGCGCCAGTCTTACCGAAAACGTGGTTTCGTATCCCACCGCTGCCAGGTTTTCTTTTTTGGATTCTCCGAAAAGTTTTTTAATGCATTTAACAATAAATGTTCCAAAGCAATAAAAGAACACTATAAACGTAATGCCGACGGTAGCGTGGCCGAGCGGTCTAAGGCGCTGGTTTAAGGCACCAGTCTCTCCGGAAGCGTGGGTTAGAATCCCACCGGTGCCAGGATTTCATTTTTTGTTTCACCAAAAAGTGTTGTAATGCATTTAAAAAACAATGTTCCAAAGGAATAAAAGAACAATATAAAAGGGATTCCGACGGTAGCGTTGCCGAGCGGTCTAAGGCGCCAGTCTCACCGGAGACGTGGGTTCGAATCGCACGGCTGCAAGGATTTCATTTTTTGTTTCACCGAAAACTGTTTTAAAGCATTTAATAACCAATTTTCTAAAGGAATAAAAGAACTCAATAAACGTGAAGTTCGCGGTAGCGTGGCCTAAAGGGCTTAGACGTTAATTTAATTCACCAGTCTCTCCCAAGGCGTGGGTTCGAATCCACCGCTGCCAGGATTTTAATCTTTTGTTTCTCCGAAAAGTCTTTCATTGCTTTTAACCACAAATGTTCCAAAGGAATAAAAGAGAACTATAAACGTGACGCCAACGGTAGCGTGGCCGGGCGGTGTAAGGCGCAGATTGAAGGCACCAGTCTTACCGAATTCGAGGGTTCGAATCCCACCGCTCTCAGGATTTCATTTTTTTTTCACCGAAATTGTGGTAATGCATTTAAAAAAAATGTTCCAAAGGAATAAAAAAACACTATAAACGGGATTCCGACGGTAGCGTGGCCGAGCGGTCTAAGGCGCTGGTTAAAGGCCCCATTCTTTCCGGAGGCGTGGATTCGAATCGCACCGCTGCCAGGATTTCATTTTTTGTTTCACCGAAAAGTGTTGTAATGCGTTTAAAAAACATTGTTCCAAAGGAATAAAAGAACACTATAAATGTGACCCCGCCGGTAGCGTGGCCGAGTGGTGTAAGGCGCAGATTTAAGGCACGAGTCTTATCGAAAACGTCTGTTCGAATCCCACCGCTCCCATGATTTCATTTTTTGTTTCACCGAAAAGTGTTGTAATGCATTTAAAAAACAATGTTCCAAAGGATTAAAAGAACACTATAAAAGGGATTCCGACGGTAGCGTGGCCGAGCGGTCTAAGGCGCTGGTATAAGGCACCAGTCTCTCCGGAGGCGTGTGTTCGAATCGCACCGCTGCTAGGATTTCATTTTTTTTCACCGAAAACTGTTTTAAAGCATTTAACAACCAATGTGTGACAAACCTATACGAAACTTTATCACTAACCTTCTGAGTCGTCTTTTTTAGGGAAATTTAATTCCCCTACCTATTTTCAATCAGCTCCAAAAAGAGGTCAGGATTCCTTGTTATGCAGATTAGATAAAGTATTGAAGTCAAACTGAATAGTAAAGTAAAAAGCAGTAAGAGAGAGAGATTGAAGCAAGAAGGTATAACGGTAAAGTTAGAGATTTATTATTGAAGATTTCTAGGTGGATAAATCTCAGGAAGAGCTGAGCTGCAGTGTGGTAAATATTGATTTATAATTAAACTCTCATTAAAGTTTTATATTAGGAGTGAGGTTAAAGTTAAATGTTCAATAGGAACATCATTGAATATAATTCTGGGGTCTCTTATTGCGGTAATCTCTGCGTGATCGATATTCTAATTGTTAATTAATTCGATCATTAAATATTTAAGTTTATTTAAAGGAAAGTCCCTTTTTTAAACCTCATATAACTATTTAGATATATTTGTTAATAAAAGTCTTTGATTCTATTTAGAAAAGATATCCAAATAAAGAAAGTTATTTATAAAAATGGCTACTGGCTCTTATCTGACTCCAAATTATTCTCGTTCTCAAAGTGAGATCCAAGGGGATGTTCACAAATGTTCCGAAGGAATAAAAGAACTCTATAAACGTGAAGTTCGCGGTAGCGTGGCCTAATGTGCTTAGACGTTAATTTAATTCACCAGTCTCTCCCAAGGCGTGGGTTCGAATCCACCGCTGCCAGGATTTTATTCTTTTGTTTCTCCGAAAAGTCTTTCATTGCTTTTAACCACAAATGCTCCAAAGGAATAAAAGAGAACTATAAACGTGACGCCGACTTTAGCGTGGCCTCGCGGTGTAAGGCGCAGATTTAAGGCACCAGTCTTACCGAATACGAGGGTTCGAATACCACCGCTCCCAGGATTTCATTTTTTTTTTCACCGAAAAGTGTGGTAATGCATTTAAAAAACATTTTTCCAAAGGAATAAAAGAACACTAAAAATGTGACCCCGACGGCATCGTGGCCGAGCGATGTGAGGCGCAGATTTAAGGCACCAGTCTTACCGAAAACGTGGGTTCGAATCCACCGCTACCAGGATTTCTTTTTTTTTTTGTTTCTCCGAAAAGTTTTTTAATGCATTGAACAATAAATGTTCCAAAGGAATAAAAGAACACTATAAACGTGATGCCGACGGTAGCCTGTCCTAGCGGTCTAAGGCGCTGGTTTAAGGTACCAGTCTCAACCGTAGCCGTTTATTCAAATCCCACCGCTGCCAGGATTTCTTTTTTTGTTTCACCGAAAAGCGTTTTACTGCTTTTAAAAACCAATGTTCCATAGGAATTAATTAACACTATAAAAGGGATACCGACAGTAGCGTGCCGAGAGGTCTAAGCCGCTGGTTTAAGGCACCAGTCTCTCCGGAGGCGTGGGTTCGAATCCCACCTCTCCCAGGATTTCATTTTTTGTTTCACCAAAAAGTGTTGAAATGCATTTAAAAAACAATGTTCCAAAGGAATAAAAGAACACTATAAAAGGGATTCCGACGGTAGCGTGGCCGAGCGGTCTAAGGCGCCAGTCTCTCCGGAGGCGTGGGTTCGAATCGCACGGCTGCAAGGATTTCATTCTTTGTTTCACCGAAAACTGTTTTAAAGCATTTAACAACCAATTTTCCGAAGGAATAAAAGAACTCTATAAACGTGAAGTTCGCGGTAGCGTGGCCTAATGGGCTTAGACGTTAATTTAATTCACCAGTCTCTCCCAAGGCGTGGGTTCGAATCCACCACTGCCAGGATTTTATTCTTTTGTTTCTCCGAAAAGTTTTTCATTGCTTTTAACCACAAATGTTCCAAAGGAATAAAAGAGAACTATAAACGTGACGCCAACGGTAGCGTGGCCGGGCGGTGTAAGGCGCAGATTGAAGGCACCAGTCTTACCGAATTCGAGGGTTCGAATCCCACCGTTCCGGAGGCGTGGGTTCGAATCCCACCGCTGCCAGGATTTCGTTATTTGTTTTACCGAAAAGTGTTTTAATGCATTTAAAAATCAAAGTTCTAAAGGAACAAAAGAACACATTAAAAGGGATACCGACGGTAGCGTGGCCGATCGGTGTAAGGCGCTGGTTTAAGGCACCAGTCTCACCGTAGCCGTTTGTTCGAATCCCACCGCTGCCAGGATTTCTTTTTTTGTTACACCTAAAAGTGTTTTAATGCATTTACAGATCAATGTTCCAAAGGAATAAAAGAACACTATAAACATGACCCCGGCGGTAGCGTGGCCGTGCGGTCTTAGGCGCTGGTTTAAGGCACCAGTCTTTCCGTTGCCGTTTGTTCGAATCCCACCGCTGCCATGATTTCATTTTTTGTTTCACCGAAAAGTGTTGTAATGCATTTAAAAAACAATGTTCCAAAGGAATAAAAGAACACTATAAAAGGGATTCCGACGGTAGCGTGGCCGAGCGCTCTAAGCCGCTGGTTTAAGGCACCAGTCTCTCCGGAGGCGTGGGTTCGAATCCCACCGCTGCCAGAATTTCAATTTTTGTTTTAATGCATTGAAAAATCAATGTTCCAAAGGAATAAAAGAACACTATATATATAATTAAAGTATTTTGTCGCTATTATGACCTATAAGCAGGCCAAAAAAATAATTCTTTTCTTTTTACTTTAATACGGGTAGATGTGTTTATAGTTTCAACGTTAAGTATTAGTCAAAATATGAAAAATTCTCTATAGAGGCGGCACATTAGGTCTTTGCACAAAGGTGGTTGACACCCTAGGATCGGCCCTGCGGGCCGCAATATAAGGATAAATGGGGGAAGAGGGGGGAGAAATGCCTTATGACGAAGATAACATTGAACCTCTCTTGAAAGATATCTTCGAGGAAAAGTGTCATTGAATGATTCCTGTTCATTGGTATTTTTAAATACAGTACTTTGGTTACAAATCGAACAATTACTGATCCGTGTTTGTTTTTTACTACAAAACAGGCAACAGGAAAGAGCAAAATTGACAGAGATTTCCCACCGAATTTTTAATCCAATGTTCTTTTTATGTCAATTTCTCGGAGCAATGGGCCCCTTAAAAAGGTGGGCCGCAGGTTCAGTATCGCTGGTGTAATGTAAACAGTGATTAGATAATGAATTCTGTTGTGATCTTACCACATAAAGAACATTCTATGCACTAGGCCACTAGTAGAATATATGATAATTTTAAATAAAATATGAATCTGCCAATAAACGGATTCATATTTGCCAATAAAATGAAGCCCCATTAATTTGATTTGTCAACTTATGCAATTATTTGACAAATCACATGTTATGTTTTCTCAAAGTGCCAAATAAATGCAAATTTCGCCCGCACCTGCTGCTGTTACCGTCATCAATTCATGAATTCATCCGACTCAACCAACATCATGGACAACAGAAAAGAAAAAAATCTTGATTTACTGGGCGACAAACACTTCCTTATGAATATTTCAACGGGAAAAACTGTCACTCGTAAAGAACTCATTGTGCAATTTATCGAAACCATAAATTAATTTACAAGAAACATTCATTAATTACATCCGACTTTATTTCTGGGAACTCGCTTCCCAACGGCGTGTTAAACTGCTGGAATTTCTACCGAATAATAGAGCCATGAAAGCTTCTTTTTTTAATTTTTTTTTTTTTTTTTTCGATAATGGCAAGACCACCTCGAATGCAAGAGCCTGGAGGGTCGATATTTTGATAGGGAGGGCCCACCCTTCTTATGTCTTCGATGAAAGGAATATCTTAATACCCCCATAAAAAGAACTTTTTCTGATACAAGACAGCTAAAGAATCGTTCCTCCGCTATTGTTGTCTCAAGAGAAATTTATACAATCCTTCACTGTGTGAGGTCTTGTACCCGAACTTTTCCTTCAGTAAAAATTATCTTTTAACTGTCAAAGAAAATATAGGGAAGTTTTTTTAAAAGAATAATGGTTATTATGTGTAACGTAGAGATTTAATTGATGGTAGAATTAGTATGTGTGTGTGTGGTAGGTAGTGAAAATTTCGAACAGTAGTCGTCGCTCACGCCCTATCCTTCTCTTTATCGAATTGAAAATTCTGCTGGTGGGTTAAAGGAATGTTTACTTTTTATTTTAGAACAATAATTATTAAACTTTTTCGACTCATGGAACCTTAAAAATTATAAGATGTCACACTCAGAAGAATTATCTTTAATTTACACAATCAACATATGTTGTAGGTGCTTTATGTGTAAAGACAATTAAAACAAAATATTGTAAATCTAAAAAAGTTTTTAATATAATTTACTCATCATATATAACAATATTAACTTGGGATTCACATGTGTCATCTATCCATGCATAATATTCAGTAACTGCGATATGTGTGGTTGCATTTTTTTACACAAACTGTCGAAGTCTAGGTCTATTGATTCAATGAAAATGTTTCAAATTCTGCGTTTAAATTGTTTTTATATATTGTTTTTGTATCCCTTCACGTTAAAAAATATTTTTCGCATAATTACATTGTTTTGTATATTCTGCAATAATTTAAAACCTCAAATTTAGGAGTTATTCTAGCTTAAATTTAAATTTTTATGTTGAATCTGTTGATAAATGGATAAGTTGTTCTCTCAAAGATATTCATTAAAGGCATTTTCTATTAAAGGTTTCTCATTATAGGGGTATTTTTCTATAAATGAAAAAAAAATGTGTATTTTTCATTCGAAACTGTTTGTACCAACGAGTGTAAAAATTATTTCGTGGAATCCAGGATATAGTAAATAGTAGAATATTCACAATCTATTAAGAAGTACATTTAAAGAAAAAAATTTCAGTATTCTTTTATACAGTCACTCAAAAAAGTATTGGGACATACTACCAGTACATAGATTTTTATCATAATATTTTACTCAAACATACAAATGAAACCAAATAAAAAAGAAAGAAGTAAATGTTATTTTGGTAAATACAAATAATAATACTTTGAACAAAATCCATACATTAATGCAATTAGTGTTGAAATCGAAAATAAAAAAATCAAGTTAAAGAACGGGCTCAAAAAAGTATTGGGACACTTCCTAATAAATAAAGAAAAACAATTTAAGCTTAGAAATTAATATCTTGTTGGGACGCCCTTGCTTTTTATGACCTTTCGAAGTCTATTTGGCATGGATTGTATCAATGTTTTGCAAAACGATCTATCGATTTTAGTCCACTCTTCGACCAAATATTTTCTTATATCCTGCTTGTTAGAAATTTGGTGCTCATATAGTTTTTGCTGCAAATAATCCCACACATGTTCAATGGGATTAAGGTCTGGACCTGGTGCAGGAGACTTAATAACACTAGGACAGTGGTAGAGGACCCATAACTTGCAAATATATGCAGTATATTTCGGGTCATTATATATATATATATATATATATATATATATCTTGGTACAATTTAAAATATCCTGAGATTCCCAACTTGTTCGCACTTTGCTTTAAATTTCGCTTGAGAATGTCAAGATATAGACATATTTATTCGTTATACCATTAATAAAATGTGAGCTCCCGACTCCAAAGCTTGTCATGTATCCCCAGACAATTTGGTTACCCCCTCCATATCTGACAGTAGGCCGTAAATTTTTTACATGCATTGTTATATTTGATTTCCACCAAACTTTTTGCTTTCCATCCGAAAATGTTATATTTGCTTTCATCAACAATACGAATCTATACTTAATAGAGCTGCGCAATTTTATTGAAAATTGTTTAAATTTGAGTTTTAAAGGTATATTCATGTGTGTATTCTGTAATAACGGTATAATTGGAAGAACTACATAAATTTAATATTTTAGAATTTTTTATCTGATAGTTTTCCAAGTTTGATGGCTTTTTTTTTTTTGAAGTTAAACGTAAATGAGTTTATCAATTTTGAATTATTATTTTTTGAATATCTTTTTCTTGTGTATAGAATTGATTTATTCAAACTTAAAAACTGTTTTTAAAATGCTTTATTTTATAAACACACATATGCTTTACATAAACATTAAGTACTTTTTTTCAAATAATTTTCGAAATTCCAGCAAATTTTTAATTTTTTTTTTATATTATTTTTTTGCCCAACACAAAGTGATAAGAAAACTTACATATTTGTGGTTAAAACTTTTTATATATCATCCTATTCTTAAATAGGTTTGTTTTTTATATCTAACGTGACCATACGTCCTGTTTTTCAGTAACATACCCTGTTCAATTGTAGCACAACCGAAAAACGTCCCGTTCTAAAAAAAAGTAAAATTTCCATGTCGAATTTTTTTAAAAAAATAGCAACTATGTAATTTTCAGAAAATGTCTGGTATGTATGTACAATCCGCCTTTTACACGTGTGTCGTTAAAAATCTGGGAATTAATTACAGAAATAAAATCGTAGCAAATGTTAACACATCTTCTGCCAAGAATTTCATCCTTAATTTGAAATAAACATTAAATATACTTGAACAAATTTATTCGAAGGGAAAAATAGGAGTCTAAATAAACTATTTCCCCACATTCATTCCCCTTCTCTCTTCTTTATATTAACAAATAAAAACTACAAAGAAAAATATGTGTTTTCTTGATATACCGTATATTTCCATATTTAAGGCGATCCGTGAATAAACCAGAAATGAGTTCTTTCTTCAAAAAATTTTTCAAAACTCAAAACCTGTGAGTAAAAGCCGAATTGAAAAAAAAAAGTTAATGTAATTTTCTTGCGAATGAAAGGGATGGAATGTTTTCAAATTGAATTGCTGCTGAGTAAAACACTAACGACAATAATTTTATTTCTGGTAACCCTATACGAAAAAGTCTAATACATCTTTTTCATTCGTTTGTTTTCTTGCACAATATCTATGTTATTCATACTTTCTACTAAATTTATTTTTTGTTTGATGAAGAGAAATTCATATACGGAACGTGATCATCGACTTATGTTTCATGCCTTGGATGCAAAACTCACTGCATCATATATATTCAAAAATTGCAAGTATTGAATTTGACTGAATTGAAACTTGTATTGACAAAGGTTTGTTTCTTTTTCTACAGTTGCCAAAAAAGGGCAATTAATCTCGTTCCCAACAATGTACATTCAGACATCCCAACGAGTGAATATGAATTTTATGAACTATTCGGAATTCTTTTACACTTTTTTTATG